AACAGCCGAAATAAGATAATGATAATGGAATATTTTCGGGTTGCTAGAAGAGTTATTTAAACACGGAAGCTATTGTAACTGAGCCCTACGTAACATACGAATAAGACTAACTATATTGGCACGAATAATTGAAAGGGACTGTTCCGTACACAAGTGCAGCTGCAGAGGTATGGTAACCTCCATTGAAATGGGAAGCAAACAGTGGCGCGTGAGTAGGGATTTGAAATGTGTCCGTCTTGATATTTTATTAAGGAACTACAGCTAGGGAATAAATTAAAAAAAGTAATGGCATCCCTGTAACAGACCGTGGAGACCCATAGGGTTGTGAAATGTTGAGGTTCCCACATTTTATAGTCAGTCGGCTCATAGTTGGCGGTAAGGTTGTCAGCCTTACGCGCCAGCCGCCCTTTATCCCCCGGAATATTCCTGGTACTCATTTCTGTTAAAGGCTGAGTTGACCCCAGGGCCATAGTGCAGCTGGAAGGATTAAGTAAATTGAAAAAATCCTCATCATCAAGATTCGATCCCGCGACCTTCCATCTTGTAGCATAATGCCCCAACTAACTACGCTACCTCGTGCCCCACCGCTATGGATACTGAGGAAAACTACGGAATATGTCCGTCAGGATATCTGGAAAAACGAGGAGTCCTCAATATATATTTAGGTCACTATCAGCTCAGAGATCTCTTGTCATAACATATGAAGCAGAAACCCTCTATTTGCTGAATATCTCCAATTTTCTACATAAAAAGGGAATTAAAGTGCAGGAGATCCATACAGCATTTATATAATTCCATTGCATGGAACTTGTGCGGGGAACGCAGGGTGGATGTATCGACCTTAAGTGAGTGAGAGACTTGCGCACTGATGGGGAGGGACTAGACTCTGAAAAAATATTCCCAAAGACTGGATTGAAAACTGAATCATATGAGGAGATGGAAATAAATAGAACTCAAGAGCTGACTTTGAAAACCGAAAGAAATATTGCGGTTTCTTTCCTGTTTCACCCCTCCTCACCCTCCTCTGCCTTCTTTAACTTTCTTATGTACTCAGAGATGTTCTCTTCATTCCCTGCTGACTTCTGCGGCTCAGCCTACTTCTATTCTTGATAGTGCAGCACGCCCTTCTGAGCTTCCACTGAAGGGAGATGTGCCTTATTGGAAAAAAAAAGGTTCTTTCTGCCGAATCATATCCTCCCCCTCGCGATCCATCTAATAAAACCCCCGATACACCGCCACGTTCTTGTACCATGCTTACAGTAAAAGGCAAAGTGGCCGGCATTATTTCAGCGGAAAGTCGTAAGTCGATATAAAAGCGCTTGATGTTTCTCTGAAGTCCGTAACTTAATCCCCCTTCCCCAAATTTGTATTTGATGTTATGTGAACATGTGTTATTCACAGTCTTATAGTGACAGTACAAGGACAGACACGAACTGTGGTTTCGTTTCCTCTTGAGGGCTGGCGTTCAGAACAGACTACACAGTAAGCACTGAAACTAGGATGGTATTTCATGCTTTATATTGTAGCATGTAGACCCGTTGCTATGTAATGACTCTGTAAACAATGCCCTTTGTTAGGCATTATTAATAAGCCTCAGTGAACTAGCTGGGAAGCGGCGTTCTCTACTCGGTCTGTGCGACAGCTGTATGACGCAACAATAGAAGAACTGTTGGAAGCTGTGTGTTCTTTGCGGTTCGTGCCGTGTTGTTTGAAGCAGGAGTTTAGCCTGGAGATTAGTTACTTGATTTGGGGTAATTCAGAAGAATATGAATTTTGTGCGAGATGGCCGCCAGTCTGGGAGTTATGAGACAGTCGCCGGCCAGTAAGGTTGTGTGTAAGGACGCTAAGGAAGTTACGGCCTTGGAAGCCGTTACCAGATAACGACTGAAGACACGGCAGGCTGAGAACACTTGCGTGTGTGCTGTAGTCAGTTGTAGAGCATGTGAAATAGCGATAGCACTATGGTTACTTGTAGTCACGGATCTGTATGGGTTCAGTAAATCTAATTACCAATCCATATCCCGTCTCTAGTATAGTATTTGTCTACTTACTTTGTCCATCATTTATTTTATTCCATCAATCTTTATTTTCCTTTCTCTTTTATATTATTTCTTCCTCATGTCAAGCGAAACGTTTTGCTTATTCACAAACATTATATTGTTCCTTCTTATTCCGAAGAGAGACATTTTGTTTTGCGGAATTCTGTTCAGAGACTGGTTGTATTTATCTGCCAGTTTTCCGTGATTAAAATTCAGGCACATGTTTGTCGTACATTTTGTAGCCTGTTTTTTTTTTTTTTTAGAACTTGATATCTGCAGTTTGTCATGAGAGGGCTACCAATCTTTGTACGTTTAGCACCCTATTGTCAAGGTTACCTACATTCGCTCACTCACGGAGCTGAGCTCGTCTTGCGAAGCCTCCAACTGTGAAGCTTTTACCTACATTATCATCCGAAACTTTTAGCTTGTGCCACTCGAATTAGCATCTTGAACGTCTACTTTAAGGTTGACGGATGTCTTCCGATGTAGCCAATCGGAGAGCGACGAGACTTGGGAAGTCCCCTTATGATTATGACCGCCAACACAACATTAAAGCGCATATCTACAGGTGGAGACAAAAATATGTTGATATAAGTCCTGCTTATTTAATATATACATGGATTTCTTACTATATGTTTTGACGTATGATTTAGGTCATCATCAGGCGCCTTCTATGATTTGTAACCCAAGTTATTAAAGTTAATGGTACAAATATGGATCCATATTGTGCATCTGGTGTCTGCTGTTGCGGGCGAATGTTAAACTCAAGTTATTAAATTGTAATGCGAATATCTATTTTAGTAGGACGTACAAATAATTACTAGCCGGCAAAAATATGCATCAATATTGGGACAACTAACTTCGATAAATTGAGTTATAGATCATAGAAGGTGCCTGATGATGACCTATATTATAGGTCGAAACATGTAGTTAGAAATCCATAAATAAAAAAAGCAAACTCCTTGGCCAGTAGTCCGTAAGCTGACTATACCAACCGAGCGACCGCCGCTTGTTGGCGAAGTTAACGTCAACTCTAGCGGATAGAGGGTGTCGCGTGGTCAGCACAACGGATCCCCACTGCCGTTAATCTCGGTTCTCTAGACCGTAGCAGCTATTTCCTTGAAATACTCCTCAGTCATCCTCACGAGGCTGAGTGGATCCCGTTCCAGACCGAGTACTTATCAGAAAATATGATAGTGCCGGGAATCGAACCCGGGACCTCTGACCACTAGACGGCATAGATGGTCTTAATAAGAAATCCATGCTTATATTAAATAAGTAAGGTACACATCAACATGTTTCTTTCTTCACCCGAAAATATTCCGCCTTATTGTCGTTTTGACGGTCATAAGCATAAAATATTATACACACAACAGGATGCAATCTATAAACTTTACGATATTGAGACCGCTTAGTTGGGTTTTAGAAGTACTTTAACACAGCAGTTCATTCTGCAAGTATAGTAAGGCATTTGACTCAATCAGAATATGCGATATACACCATGACGATGGAGGAAAGAAAGTGTGTCGACATTAGATGGAGGTCAGTGGTCAGCTTCAGGCTTCGGCTGCTTTATCACCGAGGAAAGAGGCACCAATTCTCATCGGATAGGTCCCAAACTTTTATTGAATTATTTTAGGTTGTGGTGAATATTTCGTGAAGTACAAGAAGAAATAGTTCCTGATTCTATTTAGCGTGATTAGCCTCGAAACCGTAAATAACACATTTGGAAAGATGTTTAACCCATCCCGATACATTCGCTCTTAGAGTAATTTAACTTTTCTTTTTAGGGCGTCGCCTCGCGTCTTTCAGTCTGTAGTTTTAATCTCGGAACCAAGCCGTACCAGCTGCGACTATGAAACTGTAGACCATATACTAAAATTGCATTATCATGTTATTGCATTTGCTCTGCGGGTTCTTGTCGCAAGAGAGGAACTCACTTAGACGATACCTTATTAGAATCACATATTCTGCACGGAGTCTGGCAGACGTCTCGAAATCTTCACGCAGGAGAAGATTAAATCAAGTCAGAGGCGAGAGACACTCATACTGGTATAGGTTCCTCATTTTTTTTGCATTATTACTGAGTAGATACATACTCCCATTCTTCGTGTATCAGATTATTAACTTTAAATGGTTTCCACTAGTTTAGCTTCACGTATGGAACGTATTGACGTTGTATTTTATTTTGTATAATTTATCTTTTATATAACGACACCGCCGGTAACTCAGACTGAGAGATCTTCCCTCCTGTGATTGATGAATTGGAAGAATTATGGAACGGAGAGAGCTTGGACTAATTTGTGATACTTTCAGAAATTTATGTGGCGGGACTGAGGAAAACTACGAAATCACCAGTCAATATAACGTTCTTCGAGCCGAAACAATCAGGAGATCAATGTTCTGGGACATTATAGCCAAAGTGAAAATCCTTTTACTGGTGTCATTTCAAATATAAGCGACGTGGCTTTTGAAATTCGATCGCAGATTTGTACCTACAAGTTCTGTTTCGTTTTTTTTTTTTAACTTATATTATTTATCATGTAAGTGTATGTTCCTTGTGAAATAATTTCTGTGCATCGTGCGGCCATGTAAGGATTTGTGATGGACAAATTGTGGCTGAGGGCAGGATTTCTCCAGATACTTCGGTTTCCCCTGCCAATTTTTATTCCACCAGTTACTCCACAATCACCATCATCTATCATCTGGGGCTGGTACAATAGGCCAATAGTGGCCACAGTACCAAGTGGACACAGCCTCACTCAGTTCTCGCCTCCAACCTTTTGTTCTTCTCATTTTACTGTGTCTTGTCCTTCGTTTACTTCTTCTCCGGCGGTTCGTTACCTCCTCCTCCTCCTCCTCCTCCTATCTCCTCTTGTGGCCCGCACATTTGTGCGCCCAGGGTGTGGTGCCTCGTGTCTTGTTTGGATGTGTAAGGCAGATACTGGTGGTGTGTTGCAGGGAGACGTGAGCTGCCGCACCGACACGCCGAGTGGCAGCAGCTGTGGTACTCAAACTTTGAGGAGTTCCAGCGCCTCACAGAGCCCAACTTTGACAACAATACAATTAGCAACATTACAGTGCAGCTGGGCGCAACAGCGTTCTTACACTGCCGTGTCAGGAACCTGGGAGAGCGCACGGTGAGTGCAGAAGTGCGTATTAGCAGCATTACGTAACCCTAGCTTAAAGCCCCTATACAGGGTGTTTCAAATAGAAACATTGTTCCTTTTATTTTATTTTGAGGGCTCTGGACTGAAATGTAACTTTGATGTGGACGTCGAGACTGTTGCACAAGCTGTTTTAGTTTTGGAGACTTTATTTTCATGCCCGCAGATTAACGCCAACAATCATTCTTACTGATACAGGATGTTTCATGTATAGGTAGTGAAAACACCTATTCTGTTGGGTCCGTTAGAAAGAGCTAGCCTCAATCCTTCACCTGAGGACGGAAACAGATCCAGTTTCCGAAACGTGTTTTTCTTAGTTATCTTAAAAACCAGGAAGATGGATAAAGTCCGAAAACCCAATATCTCTGTGTGTTATACACCATCGTCAGAATCCTATAGTAACTACTTGTCATTATAAGGGTTAGTTTATGAGAATGACAAATGGATTAAATCGGCTCAGGATCATGCAAAGTGACGGTTTTGGTATTGGAAGTGTTTGAACTTAACGTTTTCCTTCCATAGCGTTAGGTAACTGATTGTATTACTTAGCGCTATGCGTCAACTGGAAACTCTGTTCCCGATCCAAGATTTCACACAACGGAAGAGAACTTTTAAACCGGAATGTGAAATATTAGAGGTAATATTGTCACGATATAGTGACTATAGACGGAGGTTGGTTTGGTAATTGGGTTTATTGAACACTTACAGAACGTAACTACAAGCAACTGTAGCGCTATTGCTAATTCACGCACACTACAGTTCACTACAGCACTACAGTGGATGAAAATTCTAAACTAAAGGATTGTTTCTTGCTGTTTACAGTGGAGCACTACTTTATGCATGCAGTTATGAAAACGAGTTGTAGAGACTCTTAATTATGGAGCTCAGGCATCTGCCTCACGGATAATCCCATGCACATGCAATATCCCAGCCCCTTATTATTTAACGTCTTAAATTGCAGAATAAAGTGAGCACTTTTATGAAGCAGAAATTGGATGGAATTGACAATTTTCTTGAAAGGCTTATAATTACGGTTTTCAAAAACAAGAGAAAATTCTGAAAGTAAGGTTGATTTAATTTTCCTTTTCCTTCCAGCTCTGTTCCTTCATGTATGGCAGTCTTCAGGTCCGTAAGGGGGAGGGAAGCGAAATCCTTACGCCTTTATGTGCTATATGCATGAAGTACATGAAATGAACACACAATCGGGAAGTTCGGTCATAATCCTCAAGCTTCGTATTCGAAATGTTTGAACGTATATAAACGACATATGGTATTTTTCATATATCTGTCCTATATATCCTCAAATTTATGTGAAGTTCAGATCGAATTTTACCGAAATTCGAATCTATGACTCCTGACCAGAAACCTTAAATCCCAATTTCCTGTTGCATAATAGCCTACCTCTGTTCCTGCCAATATAATAATAATAATAATAGCAATAATAACAATAATACTTATTTACTTACTTGCTAATGGAGCTGAGCCCTTCTTGAGGAGCAGCCAATTCTGAAGCTACCCAAGAATTTCCCAGCATTTTGTGAAATCGAAGGTTCATTACCTTGATCACATGAGCCCTCCACTGGTCCCTATCCTGAGCCAGATCAATCCAATCCATCCCATCCCATCCTGTCTCTCTAAGGTGCATTTTAAGCACTGTCCACCCACCTACGTCTTGACCTTCCCAGTGGTCTCTTTCCTTCTGGCTTTCTCACCAATAACCTATATGCATTTTTTTTCTCTCCCATTCGTGCTATATGCCCTGCCCACCTCATCTTCCTTAACTTGATCATTCAAATTATACTTGGAGAAGAGTACAAGTTGTGAAGCTCCTCATTATGCAGTTTTCTTCTACCTCCTGTCACTTCCTCTCGCTTCTGTCCAAATTAGAATCCACCTGCCCATCGTACACGGTAGTAAGAATTCTGTCAATTGTATATACAGTAGACTCTCGATTATCCGCGGTAATGGCGGGGAGACTTGGCGCGGATAATCAAAAACATCGGATAAACCGAAGTACACATATACAAGCCAGATATACCGGTATAAATTTAACATCGTTAATTTTTTACACCATAAAACGCTACTTAAGCTTACCTTTTGTGATGCAGGCCAATGGTTCTTCATTATAAAGCTTCTGAAGTACGGTACATAGCCTATTATAGTTGAAACTGTTCTATTGTAGATTTATACACTGAAATACACCTACACTGTAATTTTAACCACACTAATATCCTAATGCCGTAACACGAAAATAATTGAATCTAATACCATTATACAGTACTGTGCACTAAAATAAAGGAAGATGAATGAATACCAAAAACTACGAATGTTTAGGAAAAGTAGTCTGTTATTGATTTCTGTTTCAATGACATGGCTTCTTTCTTCCTTATGGTTGCTCTCAATCTGCGTAACACCAATTTGTCAGAAAGCAGAGAATCGCTTTGTTGCTCCAGAAACTCTAGCAAACCCTCAGTCCATTGAAGAGCAGATGAATTGCTTATCCTTGCATTAAAATATAGTTTTGCCTGTTTTGCGCAGATAATTCCTGAAACAGGAATGTTTTGTGCCCTTTGTTGGTTAAACCATTGCAACATTGCTTTGTCAAGCTCATCATAAGTTGGCAGTTTCATTGTTTTTCTGCCTGATAAGCCACTCGATGAATCAAAATTACTGGCGTAATTAATCAATTTATCTTTATTTTTTCTGAGATCGCGAACTGTTGTTTCACCTATACAATATTGTAAAGCTAGGTTTCTGGTAGACCATCCTTGCTCAAGCTTCTTAATTATGTCGAGTTTCTGGTTAATTGTTAAAACTACACGCTTCCTTTTCTGCTCCATTATTTTTAAATTATTGAAGAACCAGTCACAATGATAAAAAAAACAATGGTAATTCGGCACTTTCTCGCACAAAAACTTAAATTGTATTTTCCCACACAACTGAACTGCCTACTGTATTAATAACAACTGAAGAATGCAGTTCAGTGACAGACAGGATCGTACTCTTCTTTCAAAAGAACTCTCCTTCCTCCCACTACTACAGATTGACTGGTGCCTGAGTTTGGTCTTTGTTGGTCCCTTTGCTAATTGAGGTCTCACACCAGACAGATTTATGGCTCCTTGCTGGTCAAGGTTCTTTAACATTCTCTACTTGTTGGAAAAAGGGTAGGTTTCGAGCTTTCGAAACCTGATTTCGAGCTTTTAAGAAAAATAACGGGAGAATATCGATGGATGACGTAAATGCGAGTACAGTTCTCTCTAAATTATAGTAAACTAACATTGACTGTCATACAAAACATTTAAACAAATGTGATACTCACTGAAAAAAAAAAATCTTTAAAAATACATTGCCGCGGTTGAGCCGCAAAGCGGTTAAACAGCGCGCGGATAATCGAGAGTCTACTGTATTTCATTACTGAAGTAAAATGCAATTCTTTCCTATTGACAGTGTTGGCAAATGTATCAGTGTTAGTGCTATTTATTGTGGTATTGGCGCATGGTTCCAGTTTTTCCTTGAGGCGATTAAACGCCGTCGGTAGATTTTTAGTCGAGTAATATCTTGAACTGGTTGCCGCCACTCACGTCGACGGAACAATTTTCTCTGCTCTATCTGATACGGCTGCAGAAGAGTTCTCTTTCAAGGAAGCCGTATACAAGTTTATAATTGTCATTTCTTTTCATCTGTGTGGAAACTCTTCTCTCGGCGATGTTTGGTCACCAGAATAGAGCAGTTAAAGGCTTTCAGCCACGTCGAAGAAGCAGACATCTTGGAGCAACTTTCCTTACAGCTGGTAGCTGCTCGTTCCTGCAAGAACGCTTTAACATTACCACTCACTCACTCACTCTCCGCTGTCTTAACTTATTATTGTTGCAATGAAGAGAGGCGTCGTTCCTGCTGTATGAATTGTACTTCCTCGGCCTGTAGGCCAATGGGAAGCAAGCACACTGCTGCCTGTCTCCGATGTTTTGCTCACACGGAATCCGTAGGCATTACAAACAGACCATGATGGAGGGCAGTTCCATAGAACAGACGGCTAATTGCTGGTTTCCTATCGCTGCAGTCTGGTTCCCATCCCAGGTCACATAGGATTTGTGATAGAATTGAGCGGGTTTTCTCCAAGTGCTTTGGTTTTCCCTACCGTGGTCACAAGAGCCCTCCACTGGTCCCTGTCCTGAGCCAGTCAGTCTATGGACCACACCATCCTCTCTCTCTATATATAAGATCCATTTTAATATTGTCCACCCTCCTACACCTCGGTTTTCCTAGTGGTATCTTTCCTTCTGGTGTTCCCACCATTTTTTTTTGTATTTCTCTGTGCAACATGACCTGCCCACCTCATCCTCCTCGACTTGATCATTCTAATTATACTTGGCGAAGGGTACAGTTACGAAGCTCCTCATTATGCAGTTCTCATGTCACTTCATCTCTCTTCGGTCCAAATATTCTCCCCAAAACCCTGTTTCAGACACCCTCAGTCTATGTTCCTCCATTAAAGTCAGACAGCAATTTTCACACCCATACAAAACCACAGGCGAATTGTTTTGTGTATCCTGATTCTTGCGTTCCTAGACAGGAGGCAGGAAGACAGAACTCCTGGATTGAGTGGTAACAGTCATTACCCGAATTCAGTCTCTTTTAAATTTCTTCTTGAATCAAATTTTGATTTCTTACTTTCGTTCTGTACTGTGAACTGTGCCACATTTTCAAAGGATCTGTTAGCTATCTTTGTGTCATGATTTTACCCTGCTTACTTCTAGACCAACTTCCTTGAAGTTTATGTGTTTTTCTTTATGGTATCTAAATTATCACCCAGTAGATTCACATCATCAGCATAGACCAACAGTTGATTTGCCCCATTTAATTTCAGTCCCACCCTATTTTCCTGGACCTTCCTAATGGAATATTGTAAAGCAAAGTTGAAAAGCATTGGTAATAAAGCATCTCCTTGTTCTAGACCATTTTGGATGGGAAAATTATCAGACATA